AACACCGGTGCGCCCCCCCTCTTTCAACTGTATTTTTTCATGCTCACCCGCGTGCGCTCTGAAATGGGACTTCAAACTTTGCACGTCTAAGTTAAGTTCGCAAAATCCTTAACCTCGTTGGGCATAATATCTACAGGGTGTTTCAACCGTTCCAAAATCGCAGCGCCATCGTAGAGAAAGAAAGAACACGCAAAAAAAAGAGAACAACAAAACAACAAAAAAACTGGATGCCCATCAAAAACTGTGCAACCCACATATTCACCCTGGAGCCTTGTGAGGCTCGAGAAAGCTCAGAATCGTTGTCCGCGAACTTCCCGAACACGACTCTCAAGAACTGCGCGGGCCGCTCGGGGTTCTTGAGGCACTGCTGTAACCATTTCAACATGCGAATCCGAAGCTCTTCATGCGTCTGAACAAGCCCTACAGCGTGCAAAACTCGAATGTCACTGCCCGTTTCCCACTTGTCGGTTTTAAACCTGGCAACGCCTCTCAAAATTACGCGTGCATATCTAGCTAGCATAGTATCTATTGGAGCCCACTCGGCTTCCACACTGGCAGCATCAACCTTGGCCAAGCTCTCCACTCCCAAAAGACGCGCATTTACGACGCATCCTCTGAAGAGGTTACATCGCCATTGCAAAAGACATACTAGAAGTCCACACTCGACCCATGGAAAACCAGACAGCGCGACCCGCTTGGAGTCGGTGCTGGATCTCATGCAAAGTGAAACGCGAACAAAGTCTGGGGCCCAAATAACGAGTTTTCGTGACCGTCTTCCCTTGCAGTCGCTGTTGCCGCAGAAGAACAGCCTCAGTCCCATGGGGCCCCGAGCCGACAAGGAAAAACAACGTTTTCTTGTTTGCCATGATTCTGCATCATATCAACCCGCGCCAGGCGGGCATCAATAATCCTGTTCTGACGGGCTTCGAATACACGCGCCGAGGCAACGTCGCACTCCACCGTAAAATTGCCCGCCACATCATCTACAACATATTGAAAAGAGGTTCACAACACGCAGAGACCAAGGGCGCTCTACCGTATATGACTGCATGCGATGTGCCACCTGCGGTCCACCTCGACACATCTTAGCATAATCAAAAAAAACGTGCGCCATCAGCGGATCTCCAGGCAATCCACCCTGGAAAAGAAGCAGCAGCTGAGCCTCGGGCATCCCGAAGAAGCAAATCGTGGCCCATGCAATCCGAAACGAGACGAGTTGCTGGTCTGGGACATCGAACAAATCCTTCACGGCGCCCTGTAAGCGCGCCTGTGAAATGGAGTAGTAAGCATTCTTCGCATCATGCATCCTTTTCACGTGGCACTGTCGGGCTTCATATAGGAGACGCCAGGAGACGCACTGTTGTGTAGCAGTCGCTCCTTCACGTCGCCAACCTTTTAATCCACCATACACGTGAGAAGGTACATCAAATTCTGATATGGTAGGTAGTGTGCGAGAAAAAACTTAGCGACAGTGGATAGTGCAGACAAGTGCGATAATGCGTTATCCGTCCGCCCGTGCCTTGCCATTCGCCTTCGTGAGCCTGATCGCTTCACTAATCAACCACTGCATGGGCAAGGCACGCGACCTCCTGATACCGAACACCAATTGTCGTAGAACGTAATGAAAATGTGGCGTCTGCAACTTGGGCCTGTTGGCGGCCGCCCCAATCCCAGCAGCCGGCGCAGGGAGTCGCGGGTTCAGCTAGTTCGGAGCCATCGCCACTCGAAGTAGTTCAGCAGGTACCGAACGAGAAGGAACAACTCGCCTTAGCCGAAGTTTCCAAACGTGTTCATGCATAGTGTCGATGTCCCTGTCGATGTGATCTACCAGATCACTGTCGAAGACAAGGGGGCCCTGCTCCGCCATCATGAGAGCATCCAGTTCATTTCGAGACACCACCTGACAGCTAGCTCCCCCTTGCTCCCCTGGTTGTTGTAATCTTTCCACCCAATCACCTGTGGTGGCCGAACTCGGAAGAAAGCGGTAATTCAGTTTACGCAATCCCCGTCCCTTCGTGGCAATCATGCGTGCACGGCGATGGACGTCATACATATCTTTACGTTTGACCGCTGCAACTCCTACGACTACTACTACCAATTCTGCTACGCTTACAACTGCGATTACGACTACTATTACTACTACTATCAGTACTACTACTACTACTACTACTACTACTACTACTACTACTACTACTACTACTACGACTACGACTACTACTACTACTACTACGACTACTACTACTACTACTACTACTACTACTACTACTGCTACTACTACTACTACTACTACTACTACTACTACTACTACTACTACGACTACTACTACGACTATTACGATGATTACTACTACTACTACTACTACTACTACTACTACTACTACTACTGCTGCTGCTGCTGCTGCTGCTGCTGCTGCTGCCACTACCACTACTACCACTACTACTGCTACTACTACGACTACGACTACGACTACTACTACTACTACTACTACTACTACTACTAC